TTGTTTTTTTTTTTGTTTTTGTTTTTTACCCACAGGTACAGATGACGACTGACGGAACCCCTTCTATTTTGTTTTCATTGTTATCATTTAAATTTAATAATTTAAAAATTCTATTTCTTTCGGTGTTAACTTATTTTGGTATTAGTGTTGGGCGGCCCGGTGGTCCAGTGGTTAGCGCGTTGGCCTCACAGTGCAGAGGTACTGGGTTCAATTCCAACTCCAGCCTTTCTGTGTGGAGTTTGCATGTTGTTCCTGTGCCTGTGTGGGTTTTGTTCGGGTACTCCGGTTTCCTCCCACATTCCAAAAACATGCATGACTGAACACTCCAAATTATCCCTAGGTGTGAGTGTGATCACGGATGGCTGTTTGTCTCTGTGCGCTCTGCGATTGGCTGGCAACCGGTTCAGGGTGTCCCCCACCTACTGCCTGAAGACGCCTGGGATGGGCTAAAGCACCCCCCGCGACCCGTGTGAGGATAAGCGGATCAGAAAATGGATGGATGGTATTAGTGTTTGGCTGTTTCCCCTCCATATTTGTTGGGAATGGCTCTATGTGTCCCAATGATCCTTAGAGCTAAGTTGTCTACGGCTCTATGCCCCTGGCAGGGTTACCAATGGCAAACAGCTCCGAGGTGAGGGACCAGACAAAGAACGACTCCAAACCCCTCATGTAGAACACAAATAATAGATACCGTTTTCCATTTGTCCGGACGTGGAGCCAGGCCTCGAGGTGGGGCTTGATGGTCAGCGCCTGGTGGCTGGACCTACATTCGTGGGGTTCGGCTGGGCATGGCCCGAAGAGTTATTGTGGGTCCCTCCCTTCCCCATGCGCTCACCACCTATAGGAAGGCCAGGAGAGTTGGATGCAAAGAGATGGGTGGTGGCCGAAGGCAATCTACTCCGTGGATACAGAAGCTGGCTCGGAGGTGGAATATCAGCCCTTATTAGGGCTGGATGATCATGGAAATAATAATCGTGATTAATTTGATTGTGATTGAAATCACAATTAAGCAAACAATGATTCGCTGACTTCAAAACTTATATTCATGGCACAGAACAAAGGAAACGTGTGTTTCCCCTGTTTGCATGAAAGGAAACAACACAAACACAACAATCCCTCAGTTTTTGTTCAGAAGCACTCTGAACTGTAGATTGCATAAATCTATGTTTCATTCTTCATTTCATCATTTTGAGTCAAAAATGATGGCACACCATCAGCTGTTGAATCACAGTTTCACAAGCCTGCATTTAGTCACCTGTGACTCATGGAAGCTTGATTACTCCCGGGAAACTGTGCCATCGAAAGTCAACCCAGGCTTGTCAGCAGACAAGTCCAAGGAGCTGTCAGAAGATCTCAGGAAGAAAGTAGTAGAGAAGCATAGCGATGAGCAAAGCTTTGCAGCCATCGCAGGTTCAGTCCGTGTGCCAAAAAGTACGGTTGCATCACTGATCCAGAAGTGGAAGGAGTGGAAGATACCAGGTTTCCTTAAGATGGTACCCAATGGGAGCAGGTACAGTGAGAACAGTAGAGGCCTCGGAATTGTACTGTGTATAACAAAGGATATACAGAAGTGTTTGAACTGTTTGTTCTCAGCAAGATGCCGATAAACATCGGAGGTGATGATGAGTGAAACTGTCATTACCTGACGTGCGCCCTCCATCCCGTCAAGCTTTCATTGAAGCTGACAGTTCTCACCAGCTGCTAGCTATTTGGTTAAGCTTGACTTAACCAGACTATCCTCCAGCGTGTTTGTGTACGTGTGCATGTGTGTGTTTATGCAATATTTGCAAGAGATTCATCATTGCAACTATTGAATTGCTGTCAAATACTCTAAGTTCAAAAGATGCACACAATGAAAAGGTCAGTATTGCCTCCAAAACATGTTTGCGATTTTAATATTTTTTGTTGGGCGGCCCGGTGGGCCAGTGGTTAGCGCGTCGACCTCACAGCGCAAAGGTACCGGGTTCATTTCCAGCTCCGGCCTCCCTGTGTGAAGTTTGCATGTTCTCCCTGGGCCTGTGTGGGTTTTCTTCGGGTACTCCGGTTTCCTCCCACATTCCAAAAACATGCACGGCAGACTGATTGAACACTCTAAATTGTGTGAGTGTGAGTGCGGACTGTTGTTTGTCTCTGTGTGCCTTGTCATTGGCTGGCAACCGGTTCAGGGTGTCCCCCGCCGACTGCCCGGAGACGGCTGGGATAGGCTCCAGCACCCCCCGCGACCCTCGTGAGGATTCAACGGATCAGAAAATGGATGGATGGATATTTTTAGTCCATTTATAAGCTTATTGGCATTTTGGTAAGCAGCTACCATCTCAGGAATCCAACATGCTCCATAACACCGGCTTTGTTTTAGCTTACATAAACTTGATACTAACTAGGTCTTATTAGCTGCCACGTGATCAGATCACGTTTGACCAGAAAACACACCAAACACAATTACCACTTTATTACAGTTTCAAGCCAGTGGCAACCTTGATCCTCAGGATTGCTTCTTTTCCTTTGGAGTGTTCGTGTCTGAACTAATGCTCAACCCACAAAATAGTAAACGATTAGCGATCGGAGCTGCTATGCTAACAGTATAACTTTTCAAGAAAGCAGATCATCATTCCTCTTATTTAGCATGCTGAATAATTTGATTTCAGATAAGCTGCGGCCTTACCAACATTCTAAATGTGGTGCGTCACAGCAAATGTAATGTCCAAACGTGGGTGCTTCTTTTGAATTCACGGTGGTTTATCTCTTATTGCATTGTACTTTGTTTTTGCAAAGTGTGTGTGTGTGTTTGTGTGCGTGTTTAAGTGTCAGCCATCCACAAAGGTTGATGATGAAAGGCTTGCCTGGCAACATGACAGAAACATAATCAGACAGTTGACAAAGATTGTTCAAATGAGCTTCTCAAGAACGTGTTTCGCCGTTGTCTTTTTACCTGGCTGCATGTTTTCCTTTACAGTTCTGCAATAAGCAGCAGCAACAAGTCGGTGACGCTCTCCCTTGTTGTTCCTTCACTGCCGCTAACTGATTGTCAGTCAGGAAATTAAAACCTGACGTGGTATGGCTGCGAGATGTCTGTGTCGTCACGAAACGATAAAGGCGCTTTATTGAACGCCGGCGACGAACAAAAAAGAAAAAATAATAAAGCAAGTTTATAGGAGCAGCACTAAAATGAGATCCTCAAAAAAGTTGATGATAAAGCGATTGCCAAAGGTGGGAGGAACATCTCTTCGTTGGATTAAAATAAATCAGGCACCTTCAACAGCAAATTTTAATCAGAGAAGTCTTGACGTGCTTTTGTTTTTTTGTTGCTGATTAAAATATTTGTTTTACTTTTTTTCTAACAGCAGGTTTTTGAGTTATTTTTATTTTTTTTGTTTTGAAGTTTGACATGTAAAAGCTTGTAATTTTATAGCTATGACGTTTCAGAAAAAAAATCCACCTGTTGCTGAACCTAACCCTTAATTTATAAATACTACTTATGTTACTTTAATAATGATAATGATAATGATAATAATAATAATAATAGTAATAGTAATGGGTATTATTATTGTTATTATTAACATGAAAACCAGAGGTGCTACAGAAAAAGAGACTCAGTTCCAAAAACATATCTAAAAAAGTTTGTTGACACGATGGCCGTAGAAACCAAATTCGAATGAATTTGGCGCGTTGTGTGAAACAAATATACGATGATTTGCAAATCATAATCAATCTCTATTTAATAGAAGACATGACAAATACAAGATATTGAATTTTCCAACTGATAAATCTACTTGTTTTTATTGGATAATAATTATTATAATTATACTTGTAGGGCTGCAACACATTAATAAAAACCGGGAGAGGGCCATGTTTAATATTGTGTTACATCACTTTTCTTTTAACAACATTCAATAATGTTTGGGATACTAATTGTTTGAGGCTTTGTCAGTAGAATTGTTTTCCTATTCTTGCGTGATGTACAGCTTCAGCTGTTCAACAGTCCAGGAGTCTCCATTGTTGTTGGCATTGTCTTGCTGAAATGAGCAGGGGGCTCCATGAAAAAGACATTGCTTGACATGGCACTTAGACAGCCCCACACCATCACAGAATTTCCCAAAACAATTTGAAAAGTGGACTCGTCAGACCACCGAACACTTTACCACTTTGCATCAGTCCATCTTAGATGAGCTCAGGTCCGGAGAAGCCGGCAGCATTATTGCGTGTTGTTGTTTCATGGCTTTTGCTTTGCATAGTAGAGTTTTAAATTGCACTTCTTGGTGTAGCACCTACCTTGAGCCCATGTGGTGACATCCTATCCACATGATGTCGGTTTTTGATGAAGGTCACAGACATTCAATGCTGGTTTTCTGCCTTGCCGCTTACATGCATTGATTTCTCCATATTTTCTGGCCCTTTTCATGAGATTATGGACCATAGATGTGCGTTGTCCTTAAAATGTTCCACTATCTCTCTCACGCAGTTGTTCAGAGAGGCATTTCAGGGAAGCTCCTTTTATACCCGATCTTGGCACCCGCCTGTTTCCAGTTAGCCAGTCCATGTTCATGTACCGGTACATGAATGTACCAATCAGGCGTTCGATGAGCATTCCTCAACTTTCTCAGTTGTCCCAGTTTATTTGCAACCATAAAATACTATAAATTGAATGATCCTAAAGTGAAGTTAATCAGTTTGAACATTAAATATCTCATCTTTGAAGTGTACTCAATTAAATGTAGGTTGAACATCATTTGCAAATCATTGTATTGCGTTTTTATTTACACACGACATCCCAACTTCAACGAAAGTGGATTTGTAAAATATTAGCTCCGGCACTTACCAAATATAACGTCAAGGGTGCTACTCTACCATACCCAGAATTTATTGACAGTGTCAACTTCAGAAGACAACAATGTAATGTCGACTGTGTTTTTTGTGTTCAGATGTGCTGAATGATGCCATCTTTGATGAGGATCACGATGAGATGGTGATCGTGAAAGACATCGACGTGTTCTCCATGTGCGAACATCACCTGGTGCCCATCATTGGCAAGGTGAGCAATGTCATCATATGCACGCACACACACACACACACACACACACACACACACACACACACACACACACACACACACACACACACTGTTAATTTTGTCAGCCATTTTAAAATTTTGTTTCAGTTTTGGTCCAGTTTCAACTGTGGTTGTTAGTTTTTATCCATTTTTTTAGTCAACCTCATCCTGTTTGATTGAGACGAGCTTTAGTTCAGTAAAAGTCAAGCATTTCAGTCTTGATTTTCAATATATTTCCCCAAGTTTCGATTGACCCTTTTTATGATGTTTTCGATATGCTTCTAGTTTCGTACATGTTTCATGATGCGAACCATCTCAGAATGGATGAGTGACTCTTTGCGTTATTTTCCAATCACTGGCTCTGTGCGTAATTCATTGCAAGAGATGTGCTGTTATTTTTTTTTCTCAAAATTAAACCTCTGAATGATATAAATGTTACTGTTGCCTGTAAACACTCCATCCACTTACACTTACACACACACACACACACACACACACACACACACACACACACACACACACACACACACTTAAGACACACTTCTTCCAAACACAATTCCCACAGTGGCCGTCTAGATTTCTGATTAACGAGTCAAAATGTTTGAGTCTATGTATATGTACACTATTTATTGGATTGGAGTGTCTCTTAAATTGAACCCCCCCTCCCCCAAAACACAAAACTCGATGTTATCTCCCCACGGCAGCAATTTATTGTGTGTGCAGCCGCAAGTTGTGCTCACACTCTTCTTCCAATCACAATGCTAAAAAGCAGCCAGGGCTGCCTTTAGCTTCTCGTCTAAACCAACCATCAAATTCAGACCTCTCTCCCCAAACTTAACCGATACGCTCTACTCATTTTTCAACAATGACAAACATCTCAGCACACATATTTATGTTTTTAATTAATTTGAATAAATATAATAACTAACGAATTAAAATGTTCACCTCTGAAGGAGGAAATATGCTCACAGTTCGCAGCTGGTCATGTAATATCACGATTCTCAATCATATAAATATAAATGAATAACTTGGAATATGAATATCACAAATGCTACTTTGCTATTCACAAGCCCATGCAGTCATTATCTAGTTTAAAACAGACAACATGAGAAGAATCTGATTAGCTAAAATCTATTTATTTTGCATTTTTTTTCAAGCTGTCACCCCTGGCCATCATTACTCTCCCACTCAAGCCTGAATGGTCATTCTCCCCTTTTTTATGTGCGTTCATGCTCAACTGAGTAAATACAACCCATCTCTCCATCTTGCCTGCAGGTGTGTGTCGATTGAGACAAAAGAGGATAACATCTGATTTTTTGTTTGTTTGTTTCCGAACAGTGTTAACATCCTCTTGTGACATCAGTGAATCACACACAAAAAAAGAGGTGTCTTCTGTGTGTGTGTGTGTGTGTGTGTGTGTGTGTGTGTGTGTGTGTGTGTGCTCGCGCCATCAGGTGGTTGCGTCTCTAAAGCTTGTCATTGTCAACTGTGCGTCTGTTCAGTGACTCAGTGACGGCAAATGACACACCTCCTTTTATTTCCGTACCAGTGGCTGTGACAGCATCATGGGAGGAAAAGGTTTGGTCACATATTTGACATCAAGTTATTGCTTTATTTCCCTTTGAGTAAGAGTTGGTACTCATCTGTGTAAATAGCACATTCAGAGCCGGTTGGCCCGGCCCCGAGACATGGGAAGAACAAGCCATTTTTTAGGCTGGGGGCGGGGATTGCTGTATAAAAACAATAAAAAAGCAAATGTAGAGAAATAGCTGGTTTTGGGAACTGTAATTAATTACTGTTACATACTGTAGTGTGTTGGATGAGTGCCTTTAAGGGGCGTGGCCTACTGAGTGATGTTCGGAGCTGAAATGGATTTATTTCAATGTGAGTGTCCGGTCGTGAGGTGTGACCGACAGTGATCTCATTTTGTATTTGTGTGTTTGACATCCTGTTGTCTGTCATCGTGTTCACTAAAAAGCTGAAAGTGCCTCAGTGACTGTGGCTTTCCTTGCCCACATGTCGGGGCATTACAATGCCTTCATTGCTTGAGTTTTTTTTTTTTCGCACTTTACATGAGTGACGGCCGAACTTTAGAACTTTGAGGTTGGTGTGCTATCGACTCAATTACCGTGCTGCCCAGTTTGAATATTGGTTCAGCAAGAGTGAATAGAGTCTCTGCAATGAATGACGTCATGCAAGACTGTTTTTATTTTACTTTAGTTGTTGAAATTTTTAACTCTTGTTCTGGGAAGTCACTTGATGATGCAGTTGTGACTTCAGTGCAGGTAGCTAGCATTCTGTTCCCACTCAATAATTGTGAATGAATTGACGTCTTTGGGCTGTGTCGTTGGGAAGGCCCGTTTTTTTTTTTTGGGCCCCATGACGTCACTTGTCGCAACTAGACCGCATGTGGTTTCCAAATTCTAAAAGGGCAATTCAAGTATCCAACGCTTTCTTCCTTGTGAAGCATCTGTGGGCCGCATAAAACGTGTCGATTTTTGATAGGCTTAATGTGAACTTGGACATTACGTGCGTTGGAGTCGTGCCGGCGTGACGTCATGCTGCCTTCGGAGGACCCAGACTGAGAATTTCGACACAGCCGAAGTGACAGTTTTTTTTCGACTGCCATCTAGTGGACACAATAAAGTATCATTTATTTTGCAACAGTGTTTGTTTTTCTGTTTCTCTCAAACTTCGTTTGCGTCGAACAAATATGCTTTAATTATCTTTCTTTGAATTGTATGCACTTTCTTGCTGTCACACCGTCTGTCTCTGTCTCAAACACACACACACGCACACACGCACACACACACACACACACACACACACACACACACGCACACGCAGTTATAATAGAGATGCAGATAATAGAAGGTGTAGTCTTCCCAGATATTTGACGTCACGGTATCAGGCTTTTGCAGCAGGATGGAGAGGGAAGGCTAGAAAAGGAAGAAAGACAAGGAAAAGAGCTCTTGCACGCCTGCGCTGCTGCCCTTTCTCTCATCTGGTTCTACAAATTGCGTCTGACATTTGGATGGAGCCTGTGTGCATGTGTGTGTGTGTGTTTCAGAATTAGAGCCTGCAGCACTCTAAGGCAGTGACTCTCCAGCTGATGACGCTAAGACTCGTCCTTCCTTGCCTGTCCAGCTGCTCTGCCCTCGTCATCGTTCTCGTCTGCGTGGACATTTTTCTCAAACTCTCCTATGTTAAGAACCATTCCACCATACGAGCAGATAGATTAACAACAGCATGACATCAGAATCACTCAAGGACAGTCACTTGTTGACACAGAGACGAAACCAGAGCTAACAGGTAGCAAAGATCGCAGTCAAGGCTTCATCATTGTTTGCCTGTGTCATCAAATAAATGGTATTCACTGTAGGTTGTAAGATCCTACGTAGGCATGACATACAACGGTGCGGACGTGTTAAAAGTGAGCTTCAATTAGAATCCAAATGAGTGGAGGGTTGCAAAAAAAAGCAAAACAAAACAATATTTTCACCAATCGGCCCTCCATTTTGCAGACGTGTCAGCATAACAGGATGCACTAAAAAGTCTCAAAGACCCATGATTAGGAATTGAACAGGATGTCAGCCATTTTGGGAGAATTCCAGGTCATGTTCACTTGGATGTACGCCGACGAGGGAGTTTGCTCAAATGAGCCCAACTTGTAAGCAGGTGTCCAAGACAGAATTGATTTAAAAAAACAAAGAAACAATTGTGTACATCCTCTAACGTGAGCAGCGCATGGCATCAAAGTTTGCCGTTCATCTCAAGGATTCCTTTCTTCGCTTTTTATTCCATTGACATAATCATTACACTTCCTGACATGTATCGGAAGCACAAGAAAACTCCACAGCTATCAAAAGCTTGGCAGGAAGTCAGACACACACTTGCTTCATCCGCGCTCACAACTCCATTATGACTCATCTTCTTTATTCCTGTGGCACATTTGCCCATCATTTCATTGATTCAGTTGAAATGAATTTGTTGATTTTGTGCAGGTTCACATCGGTTACCTCCCCAACAAGCGAGTTTTGGGCCTCAGCAAGCTGGCCAGGTGAGAACATTTTTGTTTCCGTGTGTGTGTATGTGTGTGTGTGCGCGCAAGACTATTCGTAAGTGGTTTTAGTATGCTAAGCCTAAAGGTATTGGGGTCAGTGGGATCAGGTCTGCACTTGTACATGCTCAATACGCAGTCTAATAATCCTCTTAGAATACTCGCCTATCGAGCAGGATCAATTAAACACAGCCCAGGAAACACACACAAATACTCATACGCGCACATGGTTCGAAAAAGAGCAAGCCTTGTAGATTTTGACATAAAATTGCGACTATGGTATATTGATTCTGGGTGAGCAGCCAAGAAATGTGTAGACCATTATTGGATAATTTCTTCTTAATTACAATAAAAGGATGCCATCTGAGCGTAATCAAAGCTTCATTCAGCCGCAGAATGACAGCATATCCACAATTTTGAAGAAATCCCCAGCAGGTACATATGGCGTAATATATGCACAGCTATGTTGTTTCCTGCTCACTGCGGCCAGTTGGTTTTTGGTGACATTTTTCTGAAGGTGCCAAGCTCTTAAATGTCAAAAGCGGTTTGCTTACTGAGAAAGTCAACAGGTCAGAGGGCAACAGCAGGATGCTCGTGTGTGTTCATTTGAAGCCTTTCAACACATAACTGCATCATATGTACAATTGGCTGACCTTCAAAATAGAACACTGCTCGTGGTTGGTTGATTTTCAAGTCCTTTCAAAAGACATGCAAAATAGTCTGAATTCATTCATCCCGGTCTGATACAGTCTCCAGAAAGCTTCCATTAATTGCATTCAGGAAGATTAGAACATTCTCATAAGCATGAAAATAAGTTCAGCATTGTTGAAAAATGAAAAAAAAGAAACAAACTGATACACACCCAACAAAATGGTGAGGGAACCTGAAGGCGTTTGCAGAGCGATACTATCAATTTGTGGTGTTTGAAAACAACTGCTACAATTTCGAAAGCCTTGTGATCGTTTTTTGTGGTGCTCATTTCATACCAAGCAGCCAGATGCTTCCTTGTGTTACAGCTTGCTCCATTTCCAGTTCTATGGTTAACATGACGCTTTAGGCTCGGCTTCGATCGCCTCTTACGTCACGTCCCACGTTAATTGTTTGGGCTTCAAGTTTTGGTTGAAGTGTGGCGTTTTATTTCCCCCAAATTTTGGTTGAAGTCCAAATTGTACAACTTTAAAGGGTGTTTGGCTCTTGAGGTTCTACTATTATTTATTTCAGGTTAGCAGTTGATCTGTATATGTATATTTTTTAAATGAAATTATTTATGGAGGTTGCCACAGTGGTTAGTTACACAGTAGCATATAGTCTTCAGCTCACCTGCAACTCTCATGAGCATAAGTGCTATTGAAAATGGATAAATTAATGATTTATGCACAGTTATTTCCACAATTTGTCAAAAACTATTTGTAGCAGCAGATCAAATATTGAATACATTACACCCAATTTAGAAAATCCATGTTTGGTATTGACCTTTGTGTTGAATTGAATTTTGAATTATCAAGTCCAACATTTTCATTACAGTGATGCGATGCACGTTCCCCCACTAGTCTAAACACTGTATTTTTATTCATTATATATATATATTTTAAATAATATTGCATTCGTGGAATAAGAAATAAGCGGCATAGTCGACCCGTTTTTATCCATTTTAAGAGGCTTCTATTTTGCCTTGTCCTGCCACTTGCTGTCGCCTGAAAATGACTTTCACTTCAGGGCTCAGTTTGCGGACGTCACATGACCACACCCAGCAAACAGGTGAGCAGTGTGACGTTTGCAAGCGGAGCCCGCCGGCGACACCAAGTGGCAGTACAAGGCAAAATGGCACTCTTGAGATGACGGATGATTCTGTTTAAATATGATCGATTCCAGCCCTACGCCAATTTCCATCTGCAGTACCCTGGCAGATTGATGTTACAGTTTAAGTATGAACACAGTCAAAATGGGAGAAGAAAACACAATACGAGTACACAGATCAATCGGTGGTAGACAAGCATCAGAACGAGTGCGCAAACGAGAGAAGTACGCGTTGTAAAGTGCTGCTGCCTGTAGGCTAAGGGTTACCTAGTGTACTGGTGCTCCAAACCTTCTGAAATGGTCTGTTTACACAAGCGAGGTGAAAATAATGCAAACCAAGATATTTTGACAAACAGTAATGTCGCCATCTGCTGGCTGTAAAAAAAATCGCAGGTGCTTGCAATCCTCGACTTGCTGTTTGCCGTCATACTGTCCACGTTATTATTGACTTATTTTCACGTCACATGCTATATCGGAAGTCTTTGTTTAAGCACAACACTTAATTTTAGGAATTGAATGTATACACACACACCAAAAAAAAAACGAAAGAAAAAGTACATTGACCTTAACTTGACAAACCTGGTCTTTCCTCAGGATTGTGGAGATCTACAGCCGCAGACTACAAGGTACCTCCGTAACCTTTGCTTTGCAGCCATCGCGTTCAGAGTTCAGCCATGGTGTTTGTTCACAGTTCAAGAGAGGCTGACCAAGCAAATTGCCGTGGCCATCACTGAAGCCCTGCACCCCACCGGGGTCGGCGTTATCATGGAAGCTACGTACGTACACAGAAAATGCTCAATGGATCACCTATTTGTACAGTCCAACATTTATTAACTGTACAAGCAATGAGTTAAGTCAAATGTGAACATTCTGAACAGCCATCCAACCATTTTCTATATAATCATGTGGTGCATGCTCTCCCAAAAGTCCTTCAAAAAGACAAAAAAACACTTTGTGTATTTAAAACAAACATTGAGGCTGTGTCTGAATGTCCACCCTTATTCCCGCACCCCTCATTCATTATACCAGTGATTCCCAACCTTTGTTGAGTCAAGCAAGGGACATATGTTAAGTTCTGTTGAGTGACCATCGATGGTCACTATTTTTTATAATTACATTTTGGGTAATTTTGAGAGCAGCACATTTTTTTTCTCAATGGACAATTGGGCACTCCTACAGAATGGTGTGACCACTATATAGTGCGTGTGTGTGTGTGTGTGCGCGCACACACACACACACACACACACACACACCCACACACACACACACACACACACACTCGCATTAAGTCATACCTCGGTTTTTGTCCATAATCCGTTCCAGAAGGCTGTTCGAAAACCGAAACCACGCTCTTTTTAAAATAAAAATGTTTACTGAATACATCTGCTCACAATGGAAAGCAACACGAGGAAGCGTCACTTCCTCGTCTACCCGAGGAAGCGTCACTACCTCGTGTAAGGAAGGCGAGAGGAGTCAAATGGTGCATTCAACTGCGCTCAGTTCGTTCGAGAACCGAAATTTGTTTGTCATCTGAGGCATAAAAAAAATAGAAATTTTTGGTCGAAAACCGAATTGGTTGAGAACCGAGACGTTCGAAAACCGAGGTTTGACTGTATTTTACTAGCCCATGATTAGGGGCTAATACACTATGCAGAAATAACACAAAAAAAAAAAAACCAAACAGTCAGATTTGCGTAAATCACCACAAACATGTCTGCTCACAATGAACGTTACTTCCTCGTGTAAGCAAGAGGAGTCGAGTGGGGTAGTCAGGTTTGCTTAGTTTGGTCGAAAACCGATTTTCGGTCGTAATCCGAGGCGTAAAAATCTAAAATTTTCTGGTCGAAAACCGATTTGGTTGAGGACAGAGACGTTCGAAAACCGAGGTATGACTGTATATAAAACACTTGCATGCACCCTGAAACCTGATAACATGATAAGATGTCCGCTGTAGTAACCGCTGTCCCTAAAAGGGTCAAGTAACTGGTATCTGAACACAAATGGTGCAGCAACACATTTAATATAACAGTCCTCACAGTCATATACAGTGTATTCTTTATTCCCTACAAGGATCTGAGATAAGTTGACATCTCAAGGCAGTATGTATGATCACGAGTATTTGCTCTGTTTTGTGTTCTGTAATGTTATGTATCATAGTCAACAACTGGCAGCTTACCTTCTATTTATGTTGAACTTTTACTAATACCCGTCACCATTATCGCTTATCTGCTCATCTGTTCGTGTCCGCAGTCACATGTGTATGGTGATGCGAGGCGTCCAAAAGATGAACAGCAAGACCATCACCAGTACCATGTTGGGGGTCTTCAGGGAAGACCCCAAAACTCGCGACGAGTTTCTGACGCTGGTCAGGAGCTGAAGTTCCTCCTTCACTTGTTGCCAGGGGTTAGCTCCATTTGCACGGACCAGCTAATGTGCAACCTCTGTGTGTGTGTGTGTGTGTGTGTGTGTGTGTGTGTGTGTGTGTGTGTGTGTGTTACCAACCAGAGGAAGTAAAACATTCCACTTACTTTACATGATCAGACATAACTTGTCTGCCTCAAACTCCACTTCACATGCTTGGAATTAAGTAGTCTGAGTAATTCTCAAGTAGATGGTTGCTAATCATATTTTTTAACAGATCTAACTTATAAATGCAGTATGTGTATACAGGATGATGATGTTTATTGAAAATACAATATGAATATTGTATCCATCCATTTTCTCTAGTGCTCGTCCTCTGAGCTGGAGCAGAGTCGGGGTGCACCTTGGACTGGTTGCGAGCCATTTGCACATTCTGCAACGTCGTTCAGCCCACATCGTGAAAACAAGCGTGAATGCTCGTTTTGTCTGATTGTGCCCGGCGATTGGCCAGTGACCACTCCAGGGTGTACCGCATCTCAAAGTCACCTGCGAGGTGACCCCAATGAGGTCAAGCAGTATCGAAAGCGGGTTGGTCAGATGGACCTCATAGGAGAGCATGTCTGTCCACATTCCCAAAACATGTTTGTTTGTTGAATTGAAGACGCTTAAGTGCCCACCAGTGTGAATGTGTCTGGTCAGTCAGCTTGGACAGACTGGCGCTCCGTCGCGTAGAAACATTCCTTTGAGACTTTTTGAAATGTAGGAATGAATACGTTATTCTCATGCTCATTTTTATTCTCTCATGGAAGGTCGGGTCTGTATGTGCCAACATGCCTCAATCATGTGTCGCTGATTGTGATATACAGTGAGCTCATAATCAAAAGTAAATGTGTGTGTGTGTGTGTGTTCTTGTGCCAGAACGTGTCAATGTTATGTCTGGTGTGTTGTTACAAGTTGAATTGTGTATTGCATTTGGTTCCCGAATGCATCCTTATGTGGCTATTGTGTTGTATGTTTGCAATTGTGAGCGTGGCTCATTTTTGTGTGGCCTTGCCGAGAGGAAAAGCCAATTGTGTGGCTCCTTCATTATTATTGTCACTTTAGGTACATGTTTATTTGGACTTCTTGATTGAAAATGAGACATTCTTGTGACAGTAATAACAGTAAGAAGTTCTTGTCTTTCCCTCAGGCTGGTGCGATGTTGTGAAACTCTCTATGAAGCCAACGGGGTCGCTACAAATGAACATCAGTAAATGTTCATCCGGTGCAAAAAGACAAATTCTATCTGTCTGTCTTGAAAAAAACATTATTTGGTCATTCTGGTACGCAGGATAGTTTGGACGAGCTTTGAACACATCTTTTGCAGGATCATGTAAAATCTAATGTGAAAACAATCCCGTTTTACTGCAAGTCAATTGGACACCAAAACGATATTTGCCTTGTTAGCAATACAATAAGCGACAAAAAAAAAAACAAAGCGTCCGTGAAAATTTCTGACATGTTAAAGACTCGTATGGAACTGAGGCCAAGGAAGGGGCCGGCTGGCTTTTACACTTACAATCGGTCCAGAAATATTTGGGAAGTGACAGTTACCTTTTTGTGTCTACACCAGTGACTCGTGACTATTGTGCTGTGGGAAATGAATAAAAATGAAAATATTTCTTTGTTACAAATAACGTCTCTCGTTATTCATCCAGCTATCCAGCCAGCCAGCGACGTATAATGACTGGCAGAACAATTCAATTATCTTCCAGTCAATGGCAGAAGGTACATAATTACCCCGTGTAACAGATAACATTCATGTTTCCTAATCCAAAGCATAGCACATCACATGCCTATCATGGAGGAGGCAGTTGCATTTCTAACTGCCAATGGAATCTGCTCACTACTTTTAAGGTGTCTGGAATTATAGTCTGCTCATATTTACGTGCTACAGATCACAGCTCGGATGGATGTTGCCAAACACGTTGACTGTGGAAGGAGCACCAGTTGAGCCCTGCTCCTTATGTCACCTGACTCGAGAGCAAGTACAAATACTTGGTTACTGTACTTACCTCAACAGAATTCCGAGGTACCTGGCCCAGTTGTTGCGGACCCCTGATGGAACCAAAAAAAAATAAAAAATAAAAAATTAAAACCCACTGACTCAGTGCAACTTTTACTTCCAATGTGTCTGAAAATAGCCTACTAACTTACTCAGAATGTTGACCAGTTATTTTGCCGTTCAGAAACTTGCACTTTTTAATGGATCGCATTCAGATACTCCACATCTATGTGTAACTGCTTTTGCAATTAACTGACAATAAGACTCACAAATAAGTTGCAAATAAAGACAGTTGCAGTGGGAAATCAGCGTCCGGTGAAGGCCATGGACAGACAGGGAAAAAAAAAATTGATGGTTGTGATTACAATATTCAATGTTTTGCAATGCCAATTGTATTATACTATAAATACTGACAATTTCTCAAAAACAAATGCTCTCCAAATTGGCTGCAATTCCTGAACAGTAAATACAAATTTTTGCTAAAGCTATTTTTTTTTTAAAGCTGAATATCCATCATTTGATCATATTTTCTTTCACATCTACTGTGGTAGTGCAAAATCCAAACTCATAAACACTTTCTCTTTGTCCAAATACCTCTGGCGCTACACACAGGTGAGGATTCCTCAGGGCACCTCACTAGAGTGGCAAGTTTATGATCTTTTTTTTTCCCCGGCGACGCTTAACGATAGTTGCAGTTGGTATACTACCTATGTTTAGTTGAGTGTGTGTTTCTCCTGCTAGTAATTTCCTAAACAACATATTTTTTTGACAAATGTCATCTTCTCAAAGACCGAGGCATACATACAGAATGGTTGGCGACAATAGAAATACACAAACAAACTAGAAATCTTACAACTTTTTTTTTTTTTTTTTTTTAGTGATAACGGGGCATGCCAAGTCACAGCATTCTGGTATGTCTCAACAAATTACAGCAAGACAATGAAAGCATTTGAATGCATTCATACACATACATACACACTCGCCCTTTCTCTCACACACGCACACACACAAGTAAATGTATTGTACAGACCAGAACATTTCTGAACTTCAAGGAAGTACCTACAGAGGACAGGAAGCGGACAGGTGGGCGTGACCTTAGACTTATATATAAATCGACTAACAATGCCGCTTAATGACCGTAGCACCGGCGGCAGCCATCTCTTGTTGCCACATATGCTTAGCACACTTGAATACACTGATTTCACATTTCCATATGATTTTTCCACGATGTGGAAAAGATGGTGTACAATTGTACCACTAAATCTGGGAAAACCACCACATGCACATTTCATCGGTAAGAAAGCACTGCTAAATTTTCTCTGGAGTACAACTCTTGAGTGCTGCTCAAAGATTGGTCTGCTTCATGTTGTCGGACCATCAACGCCGAAATGAAAGCAAAGCCCATCAGGTAAAAAAAAAAAAATCCCCTGCGAAATGTAAACATCATCTCTGTCAGTCACAATTCCCGATACAGAGATTTTATACGCGAAATAGTCGAAGCAAACCGATTTTTGAGAGGCTCTCACTACTCCATATGGGGATCCTGGCATCAAAAACTGCACCGAAAAATGTAACACAAGTGGTCAGTACTAGTGGCAACAAAAAATGGCTGCCTTCTGGCTTCAGCCGCAAGGAGCCAATTGTGAGTCCATTCCCATATTAAGTCCGTGGGCGTAACGTGGCGGCGGCACCAAGTGAAGGCGGCTGATTGGCTGAGTTCACACGGCGAGTTCGTGTCAACACACAAGAGGAGGTTTTACGGATTGACACCTGCATTTGGTCAATCAAAAGTCAAGAAAGTGTTTGTTTTGCTTTGATATTAAGAAAAAAAAATACTGACTTTGAGCCACAAACGTATATCCAGTCTCACCAATTAAAAAGATGCCCGTAGCAGCGTGAAGCATCTGAAATAGACTTGAAGAAATAAATGGATCTGCAGTGTGAACAAAGCCCCAGCACAGCTGTCACTGGTTTGCTCCGAGAAGATTTCAATTTTTAAAATTCAGGAAAAAGAACACAAAACAACATCAACAACAACATAAACACATTTACAATAAGGGTAAAAGTCTCGAGTACAAAAAAAGGCACTGCCATTTGTTATTCTAAATATGACTCTCAGCCTTCTGCATGCAGGGTGAACAGATAAATTACTCTTTTTTTCTGCATTTTCCTCATTTTTTTGTCCTTTTTTTGACAGTCTTTTCTTTTGTAATAATAAACAAACAATACTCTTTAGTCAACAAATGTATATGCAAGCCTGCAGTCAATACAGGACATCGGCTCTTTGCTCAAAATGAAGCTACTGTAAATGCAATAAAGGAACACAGTCAAGCAGTAGAAATTTGTTACACATTAGATGCTCCTCAAACAACAACCGCAACACAAAAACAAAATGGAGTCTCTCATCTGAAATGGAGAAAGTAAGACAAATCCCCCCCCCAAAATAAAAAATACAAGACAGCATGTTGGATATATGTCTTGAGTTACAAGCCCACAAATACTTTTGGAATAACACCAACGTCTACGACTGCACCCCACACACAACTTTGAAGTCGGTATTTGGTATGAAGTTGTGAACGCTCCACCGCGCCAATCTCAGCTATGTTCAAATCGCCCAACCTTCACGCAAAGCGAGTGTCTTTATGCTTGTGCAGCCTTGAACAACGTAAAAAGAAAAACGACAAGGGGTGGGGGCGGGGGGTACAAGTACGCCAGTGAAAAGGCATAATGTATAGTATGTATCTCCTCAGTACTTAAATCGAAAAAAAAAAAAAACAAAAACAAAAGAAATCCACTGATGTGTCTTCCTGTTACACGAGGTTCCTTCATGGCTATGAAAGTGCTAATTAGACTGTGTAATGTCAACGCTATCACAGCGGGAAAACTCCTGATCCCATTTCCAAGAACAGGGTGTCAAACTGGTTTTCACGACAGGTCAAATCAGAGTTATGGTTGCCCTGAAGGGGAAACCACATGACCACAACCAATTAGCACCGGGGTGTAACCTCCAAAAAAGAAAACAAATGCATGCCTACTTGCGATGCTTCGGGAAGTATTCGCAGCACTTCAATTCTTTCACAATTTCCACTGTTATGTTCCAGCCTCAACCCAAAATGGGTTGAGGCTGAGACCCTTTTACTTTTTTCCTCCAAACTTTACACGCAAACACCCCATCATGAAAACACAAAGAATTATTCACAGCCAGACACCATCCACCCATCCATTTTCCGATCCGCTTTATCCTCACAAGGGTCACGCGGGGTGCTGGAGCCTATCCCAGCCGTCGATCGGGCAGTAGGCGGGGGACACCCTGAACCGGTTGTCAGCCAATCGCAGACTCACACCGAGGGACAATTTAGAGCAGCGGTCCCCAAACTTTTTCCTGTGAGGGCCGCATAAGCTTTGCTT